CATTTGTTTAAATGTGTATAATTTAACAGAGTTATAAAGCCCACAACTGAATTTTTCCCACTGAATAAAAAGCAACTACCATGTGCAACTCTACCTTGGCTGTGGATAATTGCTAATAGATCCACATGTTTGTGTAAGGATTTCTTTTCTGTTCATAAACAATTTCCATCTGAAGCTCCATTGTCCTCATTGAAGTCGGTGGCTGGTTTGTCGCTCTTGTTTCTCTGTGTGGCCTTTTGTTTGTACAAACTTTGTCTGACCCCTTCAAGTTACGTCTTTGACTATGTGTTGACTTTGGCCATTCCTTTCTGAGCTTTCCAGGCATTCTTTCTCTGTCAGTTAGAGTGAAACCAGGACCATCTGGCCCAGTTCCTTCCCCACATCCTCCCTTGGGTCTGCCTTCAGCAGGAATCCTATCAAGCCAGTTTGGCAAGGATCCTTCTGGAGGCAGAGTTGGGCAGTGTCTATAATTTTGCTTGATTTATTCCCAAATGATAAAGTGATGCTAATTTTGATTTTGGTAAAGTTATAGGTAAAAATTGTTACCAGAGAAACTGTGGTTTTTTTTCTTTAGGTTCTTAGATTCATTATTAAAATAATTTTAAAATGAACTCAGATGGAATCTTGGGATGATTTTATTAGAATTTGAGAAGAGAAAAAAAAAAAAACAGTAAAATCAAGCTGAAAATTCCAGCAGCTGTCAGGAGAAGGGCCGATAGAGAAATCATCATGCCTTTTAAATAGCCAAAGAGTTCAGAGAGAGAAGACCCAGAGAGTGTTTCAGGACTGCTAACCCACAGATCTGACCACAGAGGGCATCCTGAATCTTGTTCCCCAGGGTAAAAGACTGAACCAGAGACACAATTAGAACCATAGAGAGTTTATTAATGAAGAAAAAGTACTCCCAAGAACAGGAGTGGACTATGAGGTGAGCAAAGAGCCCCCAAAATATCCAGGGAGTGCACAGTCCCCGCCTCTCCTGCTCGTATTCCCCAGGGTTTTCTTTCTTTTCTTTTTTTTTTTTAAGTACAAATTTTGGAACATGTTCTGTTCCTTTGATGAAATGCAGTTAAGGAAGGGTTCTTTTGTTTTCTGCAAAACTGACTCCTTCAAATATCAATCTCGTTGCTTTTTTTTTACACCCTAGCCTGCTGCCACAAGATGATATCATGTTCTTTAATTACGTTTTTGATATAACTCTTTCTTTACCTAGACCCTCTAGCTTGCTTGAACTAAGTCTTCATGTTTAAAAATGTTCAAAACTTGAAACGTCTTTATAAAATAATTTTTTCATTACTTATTATAGTTTAGATAACAGAGATCTAATTTTAAACTGACAGAATTTTTTTTAAAAAAAAAATTCCAAACTAAACTCTTTTTGGGGATGCTTATATTTTTAAAACCAAACTCTTAGAGTCAAAACCAAACCTTTTCCCACTAAAGAAGGAAAACACTAACAGAGAGCAACAATTAGACTAATAATTTTCTATCTTTGACTCCATTTACTTTAGTTGGGGATAAACAAAGATTTAGATGAAGTCTTCCAGTCTAAATTAGAATAGGTACTCTTCATTTGATATCTTTGTTTCTTGGAGACATACTTTATCTACTATTATTTTAAGAATAGACTCTTTCTGTTACATCAGCATATATTAGATACAATGGGCAAAGCAAACCATTAGACAAGGGCATGATATGACACAGGTATTTCCCCTGAAGACCTACCTTCCTGATTCTAGCGCAAGCTCCTACCCCCAGGAACATGGGCCATTACATACTAAAAGCTGAGGCTTCAAAAGGAAGTCAAATGTCTGATGAACTTCAACCAGCTGCACCTGTGTTGCTAGAATTTCAAGGATAGACTTCTGCGAGTGTAGAGCTGGAATGTTACAGGGCCAATGTAAAAAGTGATGTCTTGGACCATCTTAGCCTTAAAAAAAAAATCCAACCAATTACTCTCCTTTCTATGTGACTTAACATTCTTGTGACCCAAGCTCAAAAGTCATTAGGGATTAACTTTATGGAGATCTAGGATGACTCTATTAGAACATATCTGTTCTTTCTGATGCCTCCAAAGAATCGCCTTTAAAATGAAGAACTTAAATCTTTTAGACCCTTTCACCTCTGGCATTTGGCTATTTTCTCAGAATGAGGAGATCCTACCCTAGTTCTATGATGCCCCAAATTTGGCTGGAAGAAGCTGCCCTTGAGTTAATATCTATTATCCCTCATGTGTCCTCTTCTATAAAATCATTTCTTCAACTTCACCCCCCTATTTCGTGCATACAAACAAAAAGACTGGAAAAGCTAGGTTTGGGGCTAGGTGCTAAATATGCCACATCTACCTGCAGGGGCCCCTTCCCCTCTTCCCTCACAGCAGATGTGAAGGAAATGATAAAGCCACTACCAAGAGCCTGGTTATGAATCTGCACTCCCTTTCAGACTCCAAGACCTCAGAGCGCTGCCAGTGTCACAGGCCTACCTGCATAATGGTTACACCTCAGCTAATTGTTTCCCTCCTCCCCTTTTCTCCATATCTTCCAAGGAACACATTGACAAATCCTTCCCCCTTTCCTCATAATGCAAGACCCTAACTCCCTTACCCTGCCCTGCCCTCGCTCTCCAGAATCAGAGGTAGTTTGACTGCAGGCCATACAATGGCAGGGAATTTGCCCTTTTTGAGGCCTATAAGGACTCTACTCTGCCCTGTGAGCCTGAACTCTTCTTAAAGCCCTGCCATTGTGCTCTCTCTGCATCCATATGTGGCATCAATAACTCTTCTGACACATCTTTTACCCTAAAAGACAGCCTTCTGCAGTGTCTTCCTTGAACTCCAGACCTAAGACCATTCAGACAGGAGGAAGAGAAATGGAAAGACCCTCCCTCCCCCTACAGGCATCTCCTTTCCAGTGGAGGCATAGAAATAACCAGCTTGTTAGCCTCCTTTAGGACAAATGGCACAACCCATGGCTAATGATTCCTTGGTAGATAAGAGAATTTAAAAAATAATAAAATAAAAAGGTGGTAGATTTCAAACATGGAAAAAGAAAACCAGCAATCCATTTGTAAGTTGGGCCTTGCCAACTGACCTTCCATTGCCAGATTAAAAATAAAGCAGTGCTGGCCTTGGGAAAAGGGATGAAGGTCTACAGGCTCTTCGCCACTAATTGCAGGGTTAAAGATTTTCCAGCAGTAGAGCATTAAATTGGCCGCAAAGCTAAAGTGATGCCAGCAAGCATGGTGAGCTATTCCTTCCCAGCCCAATTCAGGCGAAATTAAAAGGTGAACTGGTGTTAGCTTTTCTGTCGTGGCCACAAAGCTAAGCGATGAACTGATACCCATAAACACAGTCAGCTTTGCATCTTTCCTCCCTTAGACACATGCTGAGTTTCAGGCCACATCTAGCAATCTCAGCTCACTGCAAGGCTACAACACATACTATTAACATCATATGCTCTCTTTGTTTGACCTGAATGATGGAGTGCTGTATTCACACATAAAACCCTTGTCACTATGGTAAATGGACAGCTTTATGCCCCTTTAATACAAACTACAAGAAAAATAGTGCTGGGCACCTAGCTTTCTCCCCTGCCCCCATGCCCTTCATGCCCTCTAAGCCTTATCTCTTTATATTTACTCTGTTAAAGGTGTAACTTTCTACCCCCTGTCTTTTCAACCTTTAGCTTTAGTGGTCAGGAGACTCTCATGAACTCCAATGAATTCCCTTTGAGGTCCCTTATATGTTTTTAAATTGTTTTATTATGAAGAGCAAGAACCTGCAAAAGGGAATCTGTGTCTACTAGTGGTAACCTACTCTGCATATCACCTCCCCCCAATATCCCATTACCATGTGATGCCAATGTTGTTGGCTATAAATTCCCATATATAATGGTTATATTCAAGTAAGCCCCATTTCCTAGTGAGGTTCTTGCTCTCTTTTGCAATAGTTTCTGAATGAAATCCATTTTTACAATCTTATTGTATGGTTCTAGATTTAACAATACAATACCCTGCCAGCATGACCTTGAGTGACACAATCTTCTCTGATATCTTTATGTGGTACTGACATTGTGTTCTTCACTAAGAGGGTTGATGGAACAACTAGTCAGTCTTCAGGAATTTTCTTTCTGAGTATGTAGCCTGGTCTCTCCTCTCTGTCTCTCTCTGTCTCTCTCTGTCTCTGTCTCTCTGTCTCTCTGTCTCTCTGTCTCTCTGTCTCTCTCTGTCTCTCTCTGTCTCTCTGTCTCTCTCTCTCTCTCTCTCTCACACACACACACACACACACACACACACACACACACACACAAAAGATCAAGGTACCATGGAACACTATAAAGCTCAACTTTATTTTTCTCTGTCTTTTACTTTACTAACCTTTGTGTTATTGCTATTTAAAGGACATATACCAGGGGTTGCTTATTAACTGGGATTTAAGAGTGGAGTCAGTTACTGTCCTAACTGGCCCTATTCTGATGCTAGTTTGTTCTTTCTTTGCATCCTCAGTTTATCTCAAGTTCCAAGAACAGCAAGCAAGATAAGCAGGCAGTTTTTATTTATTTATGGAACTGAATCATGATCCTCTCAAACAACAGTGAAGTCCCTGCAGCCAGCTGTAGAGCCAGATCAACCTGACCTCAGTATAGCTAAGGCCTCTTGGTACCTTCATATCTTGATAGTATAATGTCTATCATAGTTACTGGAAATCTTCCTTTATATAACTCTAGAGCTGTTGTCAGAAACTTAAAGGTAGGGCAAAGGATGCCAGCATCCATATCCTTCCTAGTACAGCCACAGTGAATAAATTCTGTATCACTCGTACATTATTGGCATTCACAAACATGCATATGTGAGTGAGTGTGTGTGTGTGTGTGTGTGTGTAGTGTTGTTGGGACTTTCTCCCCTACAATTATGGTAATAGCCAGGAAATAATGCTAATAGACTGGGCCAAATGATTCATATCAGCCGAAGTCAAACCTAATACCAATTTTACAACTTTACAGATAATGAAACTGAGGTTCAAAACTTGACTTTTTCTCAGTGGAAAATGGAAGATTAACAGACAGCTCCATCTGAACCCATGGATCTTTCAGGTAGAGCACAGTAATCTACCAAGTTTATATTTTTAGGATTTATTTTATTTTATGCAAATGAGTGTTCTACCTACATGTATGTTTGAGCAACATGTGCATGACTGGTACCTATGGAGGCTTCAGATCCCCTCAATCTGTAGTAAAGGATGGCTGTGACCCAGATCATCAAATAACACTTAAATGATTATTGTTTTATAAATTATGAATAACCACTAATCTATGGAATTCTTTTAAAAATAAAGTTTTTTAATTATAAATGATATTAATGTTTTATTGATTTTTTATTTTTAAAATATTATTTATTTCTAATGCGTATGTATGTGGGCTTGAAAACAATTTTCATGTACCACTTGCATACAGATGCTGTAGAGGCCAGAGGGTGTCAGACACTCTGCATCTAGAGTTACGGGGGGCTGTGAGATGCCTGATGTGAGTGCTGGGAATGGAGGCCAGGTCCTTTGAAAGAGCAGTTAGCATGGTTTGCCAGAGCCATCTCTCCAGCCCTCTTCTTCTTTTTCTAATTAAGAAATTTTTTATTCATTTTACATATCAACCAAAGATCCCCTTTTCTTCCCTCCTCTTGCCCCCTAGCCTTCCCCACCAATCCACCCCCCATTCACTCCTCCAACAAGATCAGGCCTCCCATGGGGAGTCAACAGAGCCTGGTACATTCAGATGAGGCAGGTCCAAACCCCCCTCCCCCCACATCAAAGCTGTGCAAGGTGTCCCCCCCCCATTGGTAGTGGGCTCCAAAAAGCCAGCTCATTGACCAGGGATGGATCCTGATCCTACTGCCAAAGGGTTCCTTAAGCAGATCAACCTACATAACTGTTTCACTTATGCAGAGGGCCTAGTCCAGTCCCATGGAGGCTCAAAAGCTGTTAGTCTAAAGTTCATGAGTTCCCACTCGTTTAGTTTGGTTGTCAAGATCATGTAGGTTTCCCTATCATGATCTTGATGCCCCTTGCTCATAGAATCCCTCTTCTCTCTCTTTGATTGGACTCCTGAACCCCAGTCTGGTGCTTGGCTGTGGATCTCTGCATCTGCCTCCATCATTTACTGGATAAAGACTCTATAATTACAGTTAAGGTATTCACTGATCTGATGACTGGGGTAAGCCAGGTCAGGCACCATCTCCACTATTGCTGGGGTCATCCTTGTGGATTCCTGGGAACTTCCCTAGCACCTGGTTTCTCCCTATCCCCATGATGTCTCCCTCTATCATGGTATCTCTTTTATTGCTTTCACACACGGTCCCTGTTCCAGCTGGACCATCCTATTCCCTTATGTTCTCATCCCCCATGCCTTACCCTCTATTGCCCCCCCACCCCTAGTTTTCTCATGGAGATATAGATCATCTATTTCCTCTTCCCAGGGCAATCCATGAATCCCTCTTAGGGTCCTCCTTGTCAGCTAGCTTCTCTGGAGCGGTGGGTTGTAGTCTGGTTAACCTTTGCTTTACATCTACCCTCTTCTTTTTTGAAACATTTTTCCTTTTACATTTCTTTGTGTGTACATATGGCTGTATTTGCACACATGTATTCAACATGCCTGTAGTGGTCAAAGGATAACTAACTTATAGGAATTGATACTCTCCTTCTACTATGTGTACCCTGGGACTGAGATTAGGTCACCAGGCTTTGTAGCCAGAACCTTAAGCAGCTGAGTCATCTGGTTGACCCCCCTTTCTGTTCATACACATTCTCTTGCCTCTAGCTAGTTATTCTCCTCTGAGTTATCATGGAAACAAACTAAAGCACCTCGTGGATCTTTTCTTTAGGAAAACAAGTGGGAAAAAATATTAAATTGTAGAGTCACTAAAAATAAAACACATTTCTTCCAGGGGTGTTTATCATGTCTTTTTTATTATGTAAGTAAAGGTATCAGAGTTTCAAAATAAAGGAAACTTTATTTGAGTGGAACTTGTAGCAAATATTTTTAAATTAATTTTTATTACATTTCTTACTAATGGAAATAAACATTCTCAATTTTATTTGATATGTAGTCTTCACAATTCAGATATATTGTAAAGGTGAAAATAAGTATTTTTGATAATGCAAAATATAGTTATAAATGACATTAAGGAACTCTTCTATGAACAAATTGATTTTTTTTTTACAGATTTTTGTTTAAAAGATGTTTTAGAGAAAAAATAAGTTTGATTTTGTCCTAAAGCAGGCCATGAAATCTGGGCCTTGCAGCTTATGTCTATAATCCAAGGACTTGGGTGGGAAGCAGAGGCAGGAGGATGGAGAATTTAAAGTCAGTCTTGGCTATGTAGAGAGTTTGAAGCCAGTTTGGTCTACATAATTGGAGCCTAGAAATAGAAGGGAGAAAGAAGAAAAGGAGGGAAGGAGGGAGGGAGGGAAAGAAGGAGGGAAAGAGCTATATTACATGAGGCCAGACAGACTGTGGGTACCCTTGTTTAACAGGGAACAGAAGACAGGATGCAAGCTGTTTTATAATACGATCACTCCTTTAGTGAGGCAGGCCTACCAAATTCTCTGGTTTCTTAATGGATGGATAATAAAGAAAACTTTTTCATCTCATGGATATGTGAGCTACATTCTTCCAGAAACTGAAGCGAAAAATCAACGAGTTCATTTATGATGAAAGGTTGATGCTTTTGTACAGCCTAAACTTGGACTTGAGACACAATGCCAGTGTTTGGCGTCTTCGTTCATCCTTCGTCTTTGGGGGTGGGCTTTATGAGTGGATCTTGGGATGCAAGAAGGCCTTGGTGATTGAGCACCTCCCCACCCTCTTCTGCCAAACTGCATTGTATTTTATTATCTAAGACAGCAACTGTTAGGGACATGGCTGGAATGGAATAGCCAACCTTTGAAGAACTGAATGATGCTCTTAAAGATACACTCTGAAAAGAAAGGAAGTATTGATTTCTGTTGTATTTTGTACATTGAAATCTACTTCAACAACAGAATCAATATATCACTCTTTCAAATCACTGCTTTGAAGTTGCTGCTTTTTTCATTTTTTCCCCTAAATCATAAATGTAATTTATTTAGCAACCTGCTAATTTACTAACCTCTATCTGGACTGAAAGCTGTCTCAGCTCCTGACATATTAATTTAGGTACATACAGGTGCACTAAACATGAATCCTCCATTAGATCCAGTGAGCACAAATGCTCTTCTGAGGGAGGAAGCATCAGCTCCTTGGAAATATGCCTTAAACACAGAATTTCAATATTCCAGTCAAGACATTGTTATGCTTTAGCCACTGGTGGCTGCTGCCTGGGAATTGGCTTGGAGGAATAGAGAAACATGAGATGTGTTCATTCCTTTAAGAGACGACAAGGGCCCCAACCTATATAATTTGAATTTATGCCTCAATAAACGAATTCTTGAACTGGATTAATCAAATAAGGTGACTGAGAGGAACTTATAATGTCTGAAACAAATGACCTATTTAGACACATTTCTGTTGGTGTTTCTTATACCTTAAGTACAGGAGACTTTAACGCCTAAGTCTTTCCTTTGATTTTTCCTCAAGTATTTAATTCCAAACAAAAACATGACTTATCTCATTTTTGAAATTTTAAGTTGTTAAGATTTTAAAGTATTTAACTCTTTACATCTCCCACATTTATTTTAAAGACAAATCTCCTAATTTATTTTCTTGTTTGTAGTCCTTATTCTCTTGAGTGCTGAATTCTCTGGCTTGGGTAAATTCCCTCTCTACTAGACAGTGGAAAGCTAGATGATTAATATTAGATAAATTGCATGCATTATGAAATATGATGAGCATACTTAACTGATGATCACATTTATTTTGCTTTTTATTTAAAAAAAGTCACTAGTTTCTTGTTCACGCCTTGATTTAAAAAAATGTACTTACGCCGGGCGGTGGTGGCGCACGCCTTTAATCCCAGCACTCAGGAGGCAGAGCCAGGCGGATCTCTGTGAGTTCGAGGCCAGCCTGGGCTACCAAGTGAGTTCCAGGAAAAGGCGCAAAGCTACACAAGAGAAACCCTGTCTCGAAAAACCAAAAAAAAAAAAAATGTACTTACTTCTGTTCTTTCTTGAAATTTCTGGGTTGTTTCATCTTTAGTTTTGAAATCTAATGCCCAAGGAGCTCTGCAGCATGTTCTTAATTTTACACTATCAATTTATTTCCCCCTTTCTTAAAATAAACAAACAAATGCATACATACATACATACATACATAAATGTATCATCTAAAAAATAGGAGTTCCAGAAAAAGGAAAAATAGGTAATATATGTGTATATGTGAAGGAAAAGTGACATTATGTTGTTAATCTATCTATAACTGGGACATATATGGTAAATGACACACCTATGCTAATTTTAGTATGATGTCATTTGCACAATGAACTTGTGTCACATAGGAGAATTGTCCCTATTTTCATTGGTATTTTATATTCCTTATTTGCTCATTGAAAAATAAAAAAAAATCTGACGAATTTAACTAATGTTATATTATTAGTATTTGCTGTGGTTTGGGTCTAAAACATCCCATACAGAGTCATGCTTTTACTGCTTCATCCCAAGTGCTAGTGTTACTTTGAAGGCTGTGGGGCCTTTAGCATATGGTACTTGACTGGTGGATGTAGGTCAGTAGAAAAAGCAGGAACCACTCCTGGTTCCAGTCTGCTTCTCTTCGCCACCATATGAGGAGTTCCCACATGCTCCAGCTCCCCAGACCAGGCCATTCCTAGTGCCATGCTTACCATAGGGTGATAGACTGAAATGTGTCTGAAACTGTGAGTCACAATGAGCACCCCCAACCCCAGTTACTTCTGGAAATTCTGCAAATTCTAACACAATGAGAAGATTAGCACAGAATTTGACTATCTTTGCAGAAGTCAATTTCTGGAATCCATTTTCGTTCTGAATATCAAAGAACAGAATGCATTCGATAGGAAAGAAGTGTGGGAAGCTAAAGAAATCTACAGATGATGAAGGTCAGAAACTGTTATGAGAAAGGGCAGCCCTGGCTAAGGAGAGAAGAATCACTAGCCAGGCATGGGGAGGGAGAAACTGAGTAGAGAAAAAGACAGGTATTAGGTGGAAATAAACGGATTGGTAAAAGGCAGGAGAGCATCAAAGAGCCTACCTTGCTGAAGTAGGTGCTTGGGGAGTCAATATATAGGTAAACTGGTGGGGCTGATAGGCAAGAGTGAGGAACAGTAAGATGGAATCTGGTGAGACTGGACTCTTCCATGGGGTCCTATTCATTCGTTTTATAAGAGTAAAAATAGACATTCATATTTTGTGTACTTGCTCCAAGGCCATGTCTTTGGCCATTCTGTCATTATAAAACATTCCTCTGAGCCCCAGAATTTTTGGTTCGTATTCCTAATATAGCGTGCAGTAGGAAGAATTATTCCCCTTAGAATGTATTGGATCTGACCTGCTAGAGCTGAAACTACTTGCCTTTGGGATCTTTTTCATGCATGGGTGTGTGTTACTGCTTTCTTTAAAACAGCTACGTGGCCTTTTCTAATGTAGATTTATTTCCAAAACACTTGATTTATTGCTTGTTTTTATAAATCTTTATATTTTGAGTTAGTGTATATTTTACTTTTCTTATATTTCATTAAAATTAATTGTTAAGAATGCTATTTTCATTGCTTGCTTTTACATATTATATATATACTGTGTATGCTAACCATATTTTCTACTGTTATTTAACATATTAATTTATAATCTGATTTAATTAGCCACTGTGCATTTTAATACCTATTCTCAATATTAATTTATATGTTTTATTTGTTATAAAATATTTCCTTTCATTTCACTCTTTGTGTAATCTCATATATGGCATATTTCCATATTAGACTAGACTAGACTAGACTATACTGTGGCCTGGGCCACAGTCAGGACAAATCTCTCTCACCTGCCAGTCCCACAGCCACTCAGACCCAACCAAGTAAACACAGAAACTTATATTGCTTACAAACTGTATGGCTGTGGCAGGCTTCTTGCTAACTGTTCTTATAGCTTAAATTAATCCATTTCCATTAATCTATACCTTGCCACATGACTCGTGGCTTACCGGCATCTTCACATGCTGTTTGTCATCATGGCGGCTGGCAGTGTCTCTCTGACTTAGCCTTCCACTTCCCAGCTTTATTCTCCTCCTTGTCCCGCCTATACTTCCTACCTGGCCACTGGCCAATCAGTGATTTATTTATTGACCAATCAGCAACACATTTGCCATACAGAACATCCCACAGCACTAGACTTTTATATTTTAATGTCATTAAAAATGTCTAATCATTAGGGATGACTAGAAGTGAAGATAATATGTAATTTTTCTTATAAAATTAATGTCATGGATAGTTTAGTTTTTCTTATTATATATTTATGCAAATTATGTTTACGTATAGGTACATGTGTGGTCTGTAAGCATGCATATATGTGGGCATATACGTGTGTGAGTGTGTGTTCAAGTCCAAGCTGATGTCTTCCTTGGTCATCTCAATTATATGTATTGAAGTTCTTTCTCCCAAACCAGAGCTTGCCATGCTAGCTAGTTTGCCTAGCCACTTGCTCCAGGGATTCCCTGTCCATGTCCTGCACACTGGGATTACAGGCATTTTACGTGGATTCTGGGCATCAGAACTTTGGTCCTAATGCTGACAAACGAAGAACTATACAGATGCACCATGTCACCAGCCACCTTCCCTTTAATATTCAGGATTAGTTGGTATTTCCTGCCTGTTTTAAAACATGAAGATAATATTATTTTCCATAAGAACTGGCCAGTGGTCCCTGTCTACTTTATTTCTTGGGTTATTCTTCCATGGTAATTTGTAATGCCATAATTTTCATTTCACAAATTATGGAAACTTTTCATCTGTTCTCTGTCTGTACTTAGCCTGTCCACTTTGGGCAGAATCACAGAACTTTTCATAAGAACATGCTCTGAGTCACATTGTTTATGAAAGTTGCGGAATCAACTTGTAAGTTAATGACATTTTAGATGAAATTCAGCTTTAGAATTCTCCCAGGAAAAGAAACTACTTGACTAGAAATAAAAGTTAAGTACCTGTTTTTTTCAGTCCCAGGAACTATATGAACACTCTGTCTTCTGTGCAAAGAAATACCTAAGTGCTTCGTAAATAATTTGAAAAAGGGTTTGTTTTATTTCTTCTTCTCAAAAAAAAAAAAATCAAGAACACCAACAACAAAATACCCACAGAATTGGAGATATGGCTCTGTGGTTAAGAGTACTTCCTGATCTTACAGAGAACTTGGTTTAAGTTCCCAGCATCCATTTCTCTGTCATTGGGTGATCCCCATGTCTTTCTTGGGGTCCTGTTTTCCAGGTAGCCTCTCTGGTGATGTGAGTAGCAGTCCAGTCATCCTTGTTCCACATCTAGTATCCTCCTATGAGTGAGTATATACCATGTTTGTCTTTCTGAGTCTGGGTTACCTCACTCAGGATGATTTTTTTCTAGATCCATCCATTTGCCTGCAAACCTCATGATGTCATTGGTTTTCTCTGCTGAGTAGTACTCCAATGACGGAGAAAAGGAAGAGATCTACATGAACAGCCTGGACATGAGTAGGGGTAATGAAAGGCAAGGGTCGAGGGAACGAGAGCTTGGGGGAGCGGGAGATCCCAGCTGGATCAACAACAGAGAGGGAGAACAAGGAATAGGAGACAATGGTAAATGAAGACCACATGAGAATAGGAAGAAGCAAAGTGCTAGAGAGGCCCACAGAAATCCACAAAGATACCCACACAACAGACTGCTGGCAATGGTCGAGAGACAGCCCGAAATGAAATACTCTGGTGATGGGATGGCCAAACACCCTAATTGTCGTGCTAGAAACCTCATCCAACTACTGAGGGATCTGGATGCAGAGATCCATGGCTAGGTCCCAGGTGGAGCTCTGTGAGTCCAATTAGCGAGAAAGAGGAGGGTTTATATGAGCGAGAATTGTTGAGACCAAGGTTGGATAAAGCACAGGGACAAATAGCCAAACGAATGGAAACTCATGAACTATGAACCAATGGCTGAGGGGTCCCCAACTGGATCAGGCCCTCTGAATGGGTGAGACAGTTGATTGGCTTGATCTGTTTGGGAGGCATCCAGGCAGTGGGACTGGGTCCTGTGCTCATTGCATGAGTTGGCTGTTTGAAACCTGGGGCCTATGCAGGGTGGCTTGGCTCGGCCTGGGAGGAGGGGACTGTTCCTCCCTGGACTGAGTCTACCAGGTTGATCTCAGTCCTCGGGGGAGGCTTTTCCCTGGAGGAGGTGGGAATGGGGGGTGGGCTGGGGGAAAGGAGAGGGGGGCGGGAGGGGGAGAACAAGGGAATCCGTGGCTGATATGTAGAACTGAATTGTATTGCAAAATTAAAAAAAAAAATACAAAAAAAAAGTTCCCAGCATCCAGATAGCAGATCAGAACCATGTGTAACTCTAGTTCTAGGGGATATGACACACACTTCTGGCATTCAAGAGTCCTTGGCATGTAGATAGTAAACACATATAATTTGGAACTATTACTTGAGTAATTTAAAATTCCCTTTATATATGTGTCACTTAGTTTCCTAAATTTTAGATGAATTGACAAAGAATTATAAAGAATCATGCAGTGTAATATTGGTATGAAATAAATTAGGTGACTGATATCTATAGCAGCCTACTTGGATTTGGAGAAAACACAGAAGAGGAACATAGCTAAAAAGATCTTTGGGTGTTTTCCAAATTAGAGACATCTCAAAATAAACTATCACACCCTTGTCACTATCACATTCTATGAATCTGAGTTATGTATACTGTGCTGAGCTGTCCTTCACCTTCAGTATTCTTTTGAATTGGAATGGCTTATACTCTGTAGTTCTAGATTATCATTGGTGCTGTGTGGCTACGCTGGAAATTCTGGTGTTTTCCCAGCAGCCTTTCGTCGGTCTGTTCCACGTTTTGTCGTGCTGGGTATTGGTTGAAATCTTTTCAATTGGGACTTTAAAATGCATTTAAGGGAAATTCCTAAATAATACAAAAACTATTCTCCAGCCAAAAAGAATTCATGCTGTTTCACATCCCATTACCATTCTTGTAAAGAATCCCTAGAACATGATACTAGCTAGTAAGCAAAAACAAAATAAAACAAAAAAAATGAAGAAACAGTAAGGGTGCCACAAGGAATAATAAATATTTGAAGTGATGATATTTGCTTGCTGTGGGATAATGCTATTATTCACTGGTTTAATAAAATGTTGATTGGCCAGTAGCCAGGCGGGAAGTACAGGCAGGATAAGCAGACAAGGAGAATGCTGGGAAGAGAAAGACTGAGTCAGGAGACACCAGCCTGCCATCCAGGGAGCAGCATGTAGTGGCACACAGGTAAAGGCATGGAACATATGGCAACATATAGATTTACAGAAATGGGCTGAGTTTAAGTGTAAGAGCTAGTCAGTGGAAAGCCTGAGCTAATGGCCAAGCAATTTTAATTAATATAAACCCCTGTGTGTTTACTTGGGTCTGAGTGGCTGCAGACTGTGCAGGACACAGGAAAATTTCAGCTACACTTGCTAGTTAGTCATGTTTGGTAATCTATAAAATGTGTATTTAAAAATATCCTTGTACCTCCAAACACAAGCAACTATTCTTTGTCAATTAACAATAAGTCAAAGCTTGAAAAATAGATCATTAATTATAAAATTCTATCCTACATTGCTTGAGGGTAGGTAACATATATGCCATCCTTGTACCTTTAATTCTAACATGGATCATGCTCAAGTTTTGAAGAATTATTATCCCAAAGGTTAAAAAATTTGCAGTTCACATGTGACATATCCTCATTATTCTGTATTGATGCAACAAACTGCAGTCTGCACAATCTCATTCTGTCTTATCATCACATTTCTTTCTTTTTTTTTTTTTTTTTTTTTTTTTTTTTTTTTTTTTTTGGTTTTTCGAGACAGGGTTTCTCTGTGTAGCTTTGCGCCTTTCCTGGAACTCACTTGGTAGCCCAGGCTGGCCTCGAACTCACAGAGATCCGCCTGCCTTTGCCTCCCAAGTGCTGGGATTAAAGGCGTGCGCCACCACCGCCCGGCCTATATTTATTTCTTAAGAAGGAAATGTGAATAAGAATCACATACTTCTGTTGTTGAAAATTCCTTTGCATTTTATGTGTGGCTTGCTTCACCTTGGGACAGGCAATCTTTTAAGGGAAGGAGTACCTAGAAGAATCCACAGAAATGATCTATTTTAACTTTATCTTTTTAAATAGAGGTAATAATGAGTCAGGGAAATTAATTTAGTCAGGGTCACACAAACCATTTGACATTGTGAGAAGCCAATTTAGTAGCCTTAGGAGATGCTTCACAGGTGAGGAAAATACAGTATTCATATGAGTAGAAAGACTCCTTTAGACACAAACTCGTGCAGATTATACATGAGAGTATATCTTAGTGATATATATGCTTCTACCATGGATGTATCTGAGAATTATCAAATTAATAGGCTGAGTCTGATCAGAGTCAAGTGCTGCTCTGATGGGGGCGATGTTAAGTAAACGCAGCAGTCAAGTTAGCATGGTGAAAAATAGAGGTTCTCTGGACACTGACTTGGGACATCACTGGTGCACATGAAATGACACAACCAATTTCTCTACTCACTAGGCCATAGGTAGCCTCCCCATCGATCACTGAATGATGGGTTCTGCTCTGTGATTTCATCTACTTCTCAAATAGCTCTGACAGCAAAGTCAGGCCCTGTTCTTTTTCAAGAGGCCTTTGAAGAAACAATTCAATATTACTCTCATATGAGCATGGTCTTATTCTTTTGAAAGAGACAAGTCATTTAAAAAAAAATCTCATAGTCTGCTATAAAACCATAGTTGTTGCTTCAGGATATATTTGAGTTTTTGATATTACTTGTTTAGAGAATGCATTTTTCCATTCAATATGGCAGAGTTAAGCAGGTTTTCATCTATCCTGAAATAATAGAGAGCATGAGTTATAGCTGCTATAACAATCACATATGTGTCATTATATGAGTACATTATAGATCATCATATGCTCAACTGTCATTTTAACACGTGTTCTTAAGTAATGTGGGTAAATAAGATAGGATAAAGGAACAGAAAAATGAAAGAGAAAAAAACTTTCTGCCAGGGACATTGTTTCTGGAAGACAGTACTAGTTGTTAAATACAGAATGAATTCTTGTTACTTCTATTTATTTCTGTGTCATTTTGTTATCACTGATCCATGGGGTTTTGTTTTGTTGTTGTTGTTTAGATCCTATGAAGGCTATACTTACAAATGACAAGTAGTGGGAAATGCAGGCTTGGAGGATCAATAACATGTATGTGATAGCCAAAGAGGTGATTTGGACAGGGCATATAAATAGGATGAATGGCAAGAAGTTGGTAGGGGTGAGGGAATGAAGAAGAGGAAGGGAAGGAGGAAAGAAAGAAAGAGAGGGAGGGGAAAGAAAGGGGAAGGGGAAGAAGAATAGAATTCTGTGTGATTGTGTGAGTGCTGTGAGTGTGTGTGTGAGAGAGAACTCTAAATTGGTGATATATTTATTCTTTGCTACCCAATCCCCAATGTAAGTCTCAGAAATGAAAAGAATATTAATTATGTAAAACTGAGATTTACAAGGAAGGCTGGAAACATTATCCTCTAAGGACACTGACATTATTTTAAGTTATTTACTTTGGAATAATTTTAAATTTAACTAACAGAATTTATAAACTGAAAAAGATTCAAATTAAAGTGTGGGATACTTATGTGTAACAATGAGTCAAGAATGAATTTGTACTGAAAATCAAATCCCAAGAAACAACATCCATCATTTATGTGATTCCCAAGAGAAGAAACTACTGTCAACATGTAAGAAATAACAAAAATACACTCAATGTATACTCACGTTTCATGTTTATGCAATACCTCTCCCAGTGCAGTATAATATTCTGTAAAGCAAAACTAATCATTTAAGATATTAAATTCAATCCAAAGTTCTCTAACAAGAACATTTCCTAGTGTTTTCATTTTCCGTCAGTCATTTGTATGTGTGTGTGGGTGTGTGTCATGTCAGTGCACATGCACATGTATGCTTATGCATGTGGAAATATGAGGACTGTTTTCTTTCTTCCCCCTTTTAAGACATTGTTTATCACAGCCCCAGAACTCACCAATTAGGGTAGGCTGCTTGGCCACCCAATCCTAAAGAGACTACTATTCCTCCTCCCCCACTGCTGGCATTATAAGCACATATACATGCCTACTTTTTTATGTGAGCTCAGGGACTCAATCTTGGGTTTTCAATTATGTAAGGCAAGCACTAATCAAGTATTATCCTCCAGCCTCCAACTACCTTTTAAAGTAGCCATTAATTCCTTTATTCAACAAGTATGCCTTTACTTATTACTTACCTATTATCTTTTGTGTATTCTTCTAACTTTTACTGATGTAGAACTGACTTTAAAACAGATACTATCTTTACTCTCAAGGAAGGTGTTACATGGTACAAATCTCCTCTCTTTCTCCCTCTCTTCCTCTCACCCTCCCTCTCTCTCTCTCTCCACACACACACACACACACACACTCACATACACACACACACACACACACACACACACACACACACACACACACACACACACATATGACATATAATGGGGTGGATGGCAATGTAGTTCAGTGGCTTACTGAACATAAACAAATATCTGGATTCAAACCCTGGTAAGAAAAATAAAAGAACCATAAAATTGTATATCAGAAATCCCAATAGCAATGTCTTTGAACTTACCACTAGGGGAAAGTACTGATCTTGGAATTTCTTCTGCAAATGGTACTCTTGTTTCTGCTTAACTATTTGTAGTAATAAATGGCATTCTACTTTGCTGATGACCCAATTTTTATTCAGTTCTAGTTAAAAGGTGATTTGTTTCATCTGTTAATCACAAATATATGCATATATACATATATATAATTATACACACACCATTTGTTGTGTAAATATTCATTATTCTATGATTGTATAGGGATAAAGAATTGGCCAATGGTCCAGAAGTTCAGATAAGCCACCCACCCACAGACTCCCCTGATTCTATCAGAGTCCCTGCCCCCAGGATACCCTCACCCCACCTCCGTCATTGCTATATCCTAGACCCCAACTCTGGCAGAGACCCCCTGCTTGACCAGAGGCCACAAAGGCCACAAAAAGTCCAGGTAGGCCACCTGCCAATGGACTGCCCTTGGTCTTTCAGCGCCTCCCAATACCAATCAACCCTCCCCCCTCATCATCATGTACCAGCCTCCAACTCAGGCAGAAACTCCCTGTTTGACCAGAGGCCACTCTGGCCACCAGAAGTTTGGCCCCCAACTTGGGTAGAGACCTCCCTCCTGATCAACCACAGGCCATATGGCCAGAAGACCAGAGAGGAAACAGAAACTAAGGATAAAAGCACCTATCCAACAAACATAAACTTAGGAATCAGCACCTAGACCAACAATCACCCCAAACCCAGATGCCTAGACATCAGTGTAAGAATGTAATCAACAACAGCTATGGCAATATGTTACCACTAGAGCCCATCTGTCCTACTACAGCAAGCCCTGACTATTCCAACATAGCTGAAATACAAGGCAAAAACCTTAAAACAAACTATGAAGATGATAAAGGTTGTGGTGATATTTTGCTTGTTCTCTAACAAATAAAGCTAGCCTGAAGATCAGATGGTGGAGCTAGCCATTATCTACCTATTGAGGTCTAGACGTCTGTATAAACAACATACAGGAAGTGATATGGCTGGGCAGAGAGAGGAAGTTATAAGGCAGGGAGGAGACAGGAGCTCAACCACTTTCAATCTGTGGACTCCTAGAGGTAAAAAAATCTTTCTAGTGGCTGGCTCCTTTACTTTTCTGATCTTTCAGTATTTACCCCAATGTCTGATTCCAGGTTTTTATTATTAAGACCAATTAGGATTTGAGCTATAAAAGGTCCTTAAAGAAGAAATGAATAAATCCCATAAAGAAAGCCAGGAAAAAGAAAACAGTTGAAGGAAACATATAAAACTGTTTAAAACATGAAAATGGAAATAGAAGCAACAAAGAAAACACAAATTGAAGGAATTGTGAAAATGAAACATCTAGGTAAGTGAACAGGAACTACAAAGGCAAGCTTCACAAACAGAATACAAGAGACCGAAAAACCTCAGGATTGAAGATATAATAGAAGAAATAGATATGTTCATCAAAGAAAATGTTAAATCTATAAACCTCCTGACACAAACTCTTCAGGAAATCTGCGATACTATGAAAAGACCAAACCCAAGAATAATAGGAATAGAAGGAGCAGAAATCCAGATTAAAGGCACAGAAAGTATTTTCAAAAATCACAGAAGAAAATCTTCCTAATCTAAAGGAGATTCTTATAAAGATGCAAGAAGCATACAGACAACAAATAGATTGGACAAGAAATGGAAATCTCTTCCCCACATAATAATCTCAACACTAAATATACAGAACAGAGAAAGAATATTAAAAACTGCAAGGAAAAAAGACCAAATTCATAACAGTAACAGCCTAAATAAAAAACTGGAGAGATCTCATACTGGCAACTTATCAGCACACCTGAAAGCTCTAGAACAAAAAGAAGTAAGCATACCCAAAAGGAGTAGATGACTTGAAATAATCAAACTGAGGGCTGAAATCAATAACATAGCTATGAAGAAAACAATACAGGGAATCAAAGGATCAAAGAATTGTTTTTTTGAGAAAATCAATAAGATAGAGAAATCCTTATCCAAACTAACTAAAAGACACAGAGAGAATATCCAAATTAACAAAATCAGAAATGAAAGTGGGGTGTAACAACAGATACCTAGGAAATTCAAGGAATCATTAGGTCATATTTTAAAAACCTGGAGTCCACAAAATTGGAAAATCTAAAAGAAACAGGTAATTTCATCAATAGATACCACTGACCAAAGTTAATTCAAGATCAGATAAACAATTTAAATAATACCTATATCCCCTAAGGAAATAGAAGAAATTATTAAAAGTCTTCCAACCAAAAGAAGCCCAGGGCCAGACCAGACATTTTTAGCTCAGAATTCTACCAGGCTTTCAAAGAAGTACTAATGCCAATACTCCTCAAATTATGCCACAAAATAGAAACAGAAGGAACATAGCCCAATTCATTTCATGAGGCCAGGGTCAAACTTAAACCAAAAACACACAAAGACTGAACAAAGAACAAGAATTACAGACGAATTTCCCTCGTGAACATTGATGCAGAAATAATCAATAAAATACTCATAAACCCTCTCTGTAGTGCAAAATTGTACAGCCACTTTGGGAATTAATGTGGCAATTTCTCAGAAAATTGGGAGTCAATCTACCTCAAGACCCAGTGATACCACTCTTGAGCATATACCCAAAGGATGCTCAGTCATACCACAAGGATGATTTATTTGTTCATAGTAGCTTTATTTGTAATAGCCAGAACCTGGAAATAACCTAGATGACCATTATGTAAAAAAATGACAAAGAAAATGTGGTACCATTACACAATGGAGTATTACTCAGCTGTTAAAAAAAATGACATCAGGAAATTTGAAGGCAAATGGATAGAACTAGAAGAAAGAAATCACCCTGAGTGAAGCAACCCAGTCCCAGAAAGTCAAACATGGTGTATACTCACTCATAAACGGATATGTGTTGATACATTGTGTATCAAATAAAGCTTGCATAGTATCAGAGGACAGAGTGAGCCACTAGATTAAATATAGAGGCCAGGCAGTGGTGACACACACCTTTAATCCTAGCACTCGGGAAGCAGAGATCCAGTTCAAAGCCACCCTGGACTACAAGAGATAGATTCAGTCTAGGAGAGAAACAGAGCCAGGCAGTGGTGGCACATACCTTTTTTTAATTTTTTTTATTTATTTTGCAATACAATTCAGTTCTACATATCAGCCACGGATTCCCTTGTTCTCCCCCCTCCCGCCCCCCCTCTCCTTCCCCCCAGCCCACCCCCCATTCCCACCTCCTCCAGGGAAAAGCCTCCCCCGAGGACTGAGATCAACCTGGTAGACTCAGTCCAGGCAGGAACAGTCCCCTCCTCCCAGGCCGAGCCAAGCCACCCTGCATAGGCCCCAGGTTTCAAACAGCCAACTCATGCAATGAGCACAGGACCCAGTCCCACTGCCTGGATGCCTCCCAAACAGATCAAGCCAATCAACTGTCTCACCCATTCAGAGGGCCTGATCCAGTTGGGGATCCCTCAGCCATTGGTTCATAGTTCATGTGTTTCCATTCGTTTGGCTATTTGTCCCTGTGCTTTATCCAACCTTGGTCTCAACAATTCTCGCTCATATAAACCCTCCTCTTTCTCGCTAATTGGACTCACAGAGCTCCACCTGGGGCCTAGCCATGGATCTCTGCATCCAGATCCCTCAGTTGTTGGATGGGGTTTCTAGCATGACAGTTAGGGTGTTTGGCCATCCCATCACCAGAGTAGGTCAGTTCGGGCTGTCTCTCGACCATTGCCAGCAGTCTGTTGTGGGGGTATCTTTGTGGATTTCTGTGGGCCTCTCTAGCACTTTGCTTCTTCCTATTCTCATGTGGTCTTCATTTACCATGGTCTCTTATTCCTTGTTCTCCCTCTCTGTTGTTGATCCAGCTGGGATCTCCCACTCCCCCAAGCTCTCTTTCCCTCGACTCTTGCCCTTCATTACCCCCACTCATGTCCAGGCTGTTCATGTAGATCTCTTCCATTTCTCCATCAATGGGTGATCCCCATGTCTTTCTTGGGGTCCTGTTTTCCAGGTAGCCTCCCTGGTGATGTGAGTAGCAGTCCAGTCATCCTTGTTCCACATCTAGTATCCTCCTATGAGTGAGTACATACCATGTTTGTCTTTCTGAGTCTGGGTTACCTCACTCAGGATGATTTTTTCTAGATCCATCCATTTGCCTGCAAACCTCATGATGTCATTGGTTTTCTCTGCTGAGTAGTATTCCATTGTGTATATGTACCACATTTTGTTTATCCATTCTTCAGTTGAAGGGCATCTAGGTTGTTTCCATGTTCTGGCTATTATAAAGAATGCTGATATGAACATAGCTGAACAAGTGCTCTTGTAGTATGATTGAGCATTCCTTGGGTATATGCCCAAGAGGGCACACACCTTTAATCCCAGTACTTGAGAATTACACACCTTTAATCCCATCACTTGAGATCTCTTTACTACCAGTATTTGGGAATCACACATGCCATTAATCCCAACATTAAAAAGGAGATGATGGCTGGGTGGAGCAAGGTATATAAGGCATGTAGAGACAGGAACTGGAGGCTTTTGTGGCTGAGGATTCAGAGGCTTCCAGTTAGAGGGTTCATGCAGCTAGGGTCTCGCTTTCCATTTGACCTGAGGATTCAATAGTGGTGAGAAGTGGCTTGTTCCTTTCTCTCTCTGATCTTTCAGCATTTACCCTAATATCTGGATCCAGGTTTATATTAAAGACCATTTAGGATTCATGCACCATAGATATTTGCTATAAAGTAAAGGATGACCATGTTACAAACCACAGACCCAGAGAGGCTAGATAACAAGGATGGCCCAAGTGGGAAAGCATGGATCTCCCTGGGAAGAGGAAATAGAAGAGATCTCCTGGGTGAACTAGGAGCAGGTGGGGATGGGAACTTGAGGGATTGGTTTCAGGGGTACATGGAGGGGAACAGTACTGAAAGAGATGACTGGAAATGGCAGGACTTTTGGGGGCCATGTAGAAACCTCATGCATGGGAGACTCCCATGAATCTACAAGGATGACCCCAGATAAGACTTCTAGCAATAATGGATACACAGTCTAAACTGGCCATCACCTGTGATCAGACTGGTTACTGCCCCAATTGTCATTATAGAGCCTTCATCTAGTAACTGATGGAAACATACACAGAGATTCACAGCCAAACATTAGGCTGAGCTCAGGGAATCCTGCTGAAGAAAGGAAGGGAGGATTATAGGAGTCAGAGGGGTCAAGGATATCACAAGAAAAAACCCATAGAAACAACTAACCTGGCTCATAGGAAACTCAGAGAGTCTGAACCAACAACCAGGGAGCCTGCATGGGACCAACATAGGCCCTCTACACACGTGTAACAGTTGTGTAGCAAGGTCTACACGTGGGACTCATAAAAATGGGAGCAGGGAGTGTCCCTGATGCTTTGGCTGGCTCTTGGGAACCTGTTCTTCATTCTGGATTGCCTTGCCCAGCCTAAATACAAGGGGAGGTGCTTAGTCTTACTGCAACATGATGTCATGCTTTGTTGATACCTATGAGAGGCCTGCCCATTTCTGAATAGAAATAGAGGAGGAGTGAATTGAGGTGGGTGGAGTGAGGTAATGGGAGGAGAAGAGGGGAAGAAGGAGGGGGAAATTGTCAGGATATAAAATTAATTAACTAAATACTTGCAAATCAAATACAAGAACACATCAAAAAGATCATCTGCCATGATCAAGTAGGCTTCATCCCAGAGTTGCAGGGATGGTTCCAACATGTGAAAATAAGTCAATATAATGCACCACATAAACACACTGAATGAAAAAAAAAACTACACGATCATCTCATTAGATGCAGAAAAAGCCTTTGACAAAATCCAACACCTCTTCATGATAAAAGACCTGGAGAGATTAGGGATACACCTAACATAATAAAGGTAATTTACAGCAACCTATAGCCAACATCAAATTAAATGGAGAGAAACTCAATGCAATTCCACTAAAATCAGGAGCAAGATGAGATTGTTCACTCTCTCCACATCTATTCAATATAATTCTTGGAGTTTAGGTGTAGCAGTAAGACAACTAAAGGAGACCAAGGGGATTCAGTTTGGAAAGGAAGAAGTCAAAGTACCATTATTTGTAGTAGAATCTATGAAGGTGACTCTAGTGATGACTCCTAGTAATAGAGGATAGGAGCCTGATCAGTCTATCTTCGGTAACCAGGCAAGGCTTCCAGTGGTGGGACTGGGACATCAACCCAGCCACAAATCCTTCAATCTATAATGTGTTTTGCCTGAAAGATGTGCTGGGGAAATGGTGGCTCAGAGCTTGTAGGAGTGGCCAACCAATGACTAGTTTAATTTGAGGCCCATGCCAAAAGAGAGAGCCCATGCTGGATACTGCCTGAATGGCCAGGAACAGGAGGCTATATAGCTCAGAGCTAGGGTAGAACCAAACAAGACTTGCCAATAAATAAATAAATAAACAAACAAATAAATAAATAAATAACGTGAAATGATTCCTAATGATGTTCTGCTATACTCATAGATCAATGCCTAGTCCAGTCACCATGGGAGAGGTTGCCTCTGGCAGCTGATGAGAGGAGATGCAGAGATCCACAACTAAATGTTAGGTAGAAAGAAAACTGGGGTTGAGGTCTTCACTGTGTCCCTGCCCTAGGAGCTTGGAAAAGCCCCATGGAAGAAAGGCGGAGGAATTGTGGAAGTTAGAGGGGTTGAGCATTCCAGGAAAGCACAGACTGCAGAATCAACTAAGAAGGTCTCACGGCGTCTCACAGAGACTAAAATGGCCATCATAGATCCTACATGGGTCTGAGCTAGGTCCTCTGCTTATATGTTATGGTTGTTGGCTTGATATTTTGGGGTGACTCCTAAAGTGGGAGTGGGGGTTTCTATAACTCTTTTCCCTCCTCTTGACGACCCTTTTCCTCCTACTGGGTTGCCTTGCTCAGCCTTGATATGAGAGCTTGTGGTTGGTTTTATTGTGTCTTGTTGTGTTGTGTTTGGTTATGTCCCTGGGAGGCCTAATTCTTGGGGGGGGGATGGGAGTGGATCTGGGGAAGAAGGGAAATGAGGAGAACTGTGAGGGGTGGAGGGAGGGAGAAGAAACCACAATCCTCATGTATTGTATGAAAGAAAAAATAGATAAATTTTTTTTAAAAATTAAAAAAAAATGGCCCATGGACAATCAGCAAGGCATAGGACATTCTACCCTTCAAGCCTTTCTTTTGATAGTAGAGAAAAGCTGTGGGATGGTCTGTATGTCAAGTGTGTTACTGATTGGTCAATAAGTAAATCACTGATTGGCCAGTGGCTGGGCAGGAAGTATAGGCGGGATAAGGAGGAGAATAAAGCTGGGAAGTGGAAGGCTGAGTCAGGGAGATACTGCCAGCCGCCATGATGAGAAACAGCATGTGAAGATGCCAGTAAGCCACGAGCCATGTGGCAAGGTATAGATTAATGGAAATGGATTAATTTAAGCTATAAGAACAGTTAGCAAGAAGCCTGCCATGGCCATACAGTTTGTAACCAATATAAGTCTCTGTGTTTACTTGGTCGGGTCTGAGCAGCTGTGGGACTGGCAGGTGAGAGAGATTTGTCCTGACTGTGGCCCAGGCAGGAAAACTTTAGCTACAAATGGTGCCCAACGTGTTGGCAAGAGTTTCCACCTAAAACCTGAGCAAAAAGATTCTAAAACAGAGCTAAAAACAGTTCCTAGTTGTCTCTTTCAAGTAGCAGCAGGCTGCGTGTTTGAACTACCATCTACTATGGCAGGTTCCTGGCATGTGCGCTCGACCTGCAGTATGGCGGGAATGAGGCTTCTGCAAGTGACACATTAAGTTGCGTGGTGGATTTAGCCTTTACTAGTGCAAAACAAAAAGAAGTTTCTGGGCTACACACTGCTTTGATAGAAGCATAGACCCACTATTCTGAAAGCTGATGGCTTGCAGAGCTGGCGGAAAACATACTACCGCCATGTTGGGAAACTGAAGTGGGCGGAGCCAGCAGCCACAGTACCTTTTCAGTCTTAGAATGCTATAGTTTAAAACAATAGGTTCAAGGTAATATAAAAAATAAGCCACGTAAAGATGGCTATCACACAGAGAATCTGGATTGTGTTGTCTTTAATATTCGTAACTGAAGAAAAACATTTGATTGTAAAAGCTGTTGAGTTATGCCAAAATGTATACTTTAAAGGTACCTTGACTTCAAAATTTGGATGTAAAGATATGTTGCTTTGGAAAGGAGACTCTGCTTTTGTTTCCACAGAAAGCCAGAGGCTGTGGATTTGTTCCAGATTAAGATACATCAGGTTTGACCAGCCAAGACCCCCTGAAAGGTCTCCGATGACACCATGGCCCAGATGATCCAACATCCAGAACCGTTTCAAGGCAACTGGCTCAGACGATACAGCCTCATGGACTATTCCATAATCCTAAAATTTTCTTTGTTTCCCCATAAGATACAGTGCCCCCCTCCAGCAGGAAGTAGTAAGAAAAGCTACGCCCAATTTCCCAAATATACCAAGCTGACTTTGGAGATGTGTAAAGATTAAAACCTTCCTTTGTTTTTTTTTTTTTTTTTTTTTTTTTTTTTAAAAAGGGAAGTGCTGTGGGATGGTCTGTATGTCAAGTGTGTTACTGATTGGTCAATAAATAAAACACTGATTGGCCATTGGCTAGGCAGGAAGTATAGGCAGGACAAGGAGGAGAATAAAGCTGGGAAGTGGAAGGCTGAGTCAGGGAGACACTGCCAACTGCCACGATGAGAAACAGCATGTGAAGATGCCAGTAAGCCACGAGCCATGTGGCAAGGTATAGATTAATGGAAATGGATTAATTTAAGCTATAAGAACAGTTAGCAAGAAGCCTGCCATGGCCATACAGTTTGTAACCAATATAAGTCTCTGTGTTTACTTGGTCGGGTCTGAGCAGCTGTGGGACTGGCAGGTGAGAGAGATTTGTCCTGACTGTGGCCCAGGCAGGAAAACTCTAGCTACAGAGAAATATCATTTTATGTAGCTTAATCTAGTGTGTGTGTGGTACTTTTGTTTGGACAACTCAGTTTATACCCCAAGTACTGCAGTAATCACCT